ACTGCTTTACTGCATTATATCCGAATTCGTGTTATATCGGGTCGCGTTATATCGGGGTAGAGGTGTATGTGTGGTTTTTTTATCAGGTGTGTTTCCCTGGATCTGCCGGCATAAACACACACACCCCTCCCAGTTTTGTAAAAGTTACCATATGTTTTACATGTTTATTATCAAAATGGGCAGCCTCCCACAATAAGAGCAAAAACATTTTTCAACGTAGTGGCCACCTGGAGTTTTATTCTCCCCTACAGGATAGAAGTAACTGCCACTGAAGTCAATTATGATTTACTCATGTCCTGTAGGAGAGCAGCTAAAACTGCTATTGAAATCCAGGATTTCATCTTTCCAACTTGTGCATGGGTAGTGTTTGTTTGTTTTCACAACAATGTAAGTCAAATGGGATGCAAGGGGGTCTAAATGATCATGCAGTAAGGTTTGCTAAGTACAAGGAGGCAGGATGGGATCTAATGATGCAGCAGCATCAAAATGAGGCCCTACAGATGTTTGCAAGATTCAATTTTATATGATTACAATGGACCTCTATATATAGTAGTTAAATGTAATTCTGATCCTGTTCACACAAAGTAGTCTAAATCCTACGCTCATCAGCAGTGCATAGCCAGAAATCAATATCTCGGTGTCCAGAGGTTGGGCCAGTCTCTAGCAAAGTAGAGTTTTCAGATGAATCAATGGATATGAAAAAATACAGACACATCTCCTAAAGACATTTGTTGCTTATGAATATCAGATTTATAACCTGAGTAACGATTGTAGTTTTGTACAATATAAGGAAGTAGTGAGGGTGAGGTGGTTTTGGGGCTGGGTTTTTTGGTAAGAAAAATAAACCAATTTATGGCTGGCCATGGATCCTAGCTAATTAGAAACATGGGCGAGACAGAAATCATTAATGTTAACTTTAAATTACTCCTAGCTCTTTGAGTTGGTTAATTCGTTAAAAAAAAATCCAAGCAAAACTCAACTATGAGTTGTATGTTGCAGTTGGCTACAACATGGCCCAGCATTGCATTATAGGTCTTCTTCATCAACCTGCTTTAGACAGGCAGCGCTCCAATTAAATCTAGTCAGTACTTTACGGAACTATAAACTATTTTTCTATATACTGTAGGAAATCATAACATTTTAAATTTCTTACTTTAAATATATGTAATTGCTAAATGACATGTGACATGGGGGGGGGGTGAAATTGTTGCTGCTCTAAAAACATTTTAACAGGGAGAAATAATTGACCTTTATAAACCTGAGGAAATTTCCAGAGTGCAGTTTGTCACAATATTTTATTTGCATCAATTTTAGTATACGTCTGCACTGACCCATGATGCAATCCTAGTCATAGCAGAGGCTTTCCGCTACCTCCGAAGACAGCGTGTTGATGTTTCCAGGAGAGGTAGTGCAGGAGACTGCCTAGCAAACCCTGCAGTGCCCTGGAGCCAAGGAATCGATATAGAAAGAGCATTGAAAATGGTAAGGGCAAATGTACCTAACCTATTGAACAGGTATATCGCATTTTTACAACGTAAGTCTTTAAAACAACAAGGACATGATGAAGGAAGCAACTTTCAAAAGCTACCTGTAAATCTGCATGTACAGCTTTGCAACAAATGCACTTGTAAGGACTCTGCCCATGCAAATGGGGCAGAACTCACATCCTTCTACTCCATAAGCACAGGGCCTTGGTGCTGAAGCTAACAATGACTATCCTGTACCCAGGCCAGTAAAGAGGGTAATGACAAACACGAGAGTGGTCTGACATCCCATCCAATCAAGGGCCATGGTGACATGTTCAGTATGTTACACACACACCCTCTTCCCCATGGCCATAAATTTGTCTTCTAGAATTCAGTGTTCATAGGAAATAAAAAGCGACAACCGGGCACCAATTGTAATAGCTAGCCAATGTGATGCAGTTCCCACCGTACTGTATACTAGCATCTCTGCAAATGGCTGTGTTAAAAGCTTTGCAAACATATTCTGAGGCTAGGTTGAGGTCAAAAATGTGGCCCAAAATAAAACCGAACTGGGTGAACAGTTTGTCCTCAGGAGGTGTACTGTAAACCACGTATATATTATGAGCATATGTACCTGTGTATTTATCTATATATCACACCAGTCAAAAATCAGCTTGTTTTTTTCTAAAAGTTGCACAAACGGTATGATCGACCATGTTAACAGATTGCAGGATTTCTGCACCAGCCTGAACCTTAGCCCTGAGTTTTGCCTTACACCTGCTCTCTGAACCCTAACATAACTCTATTTCCAACTTGATTACTCCTATTTGGCCAATCCCTAGTACTAACCATTAGTTATTGCATCAGATCTAGTATTGATCAAATCCCTGTGGTTTTGTTTGTCTTTCTTTCCCTTTTGTATTAAACTGATTTGGGGGCATAAAAGTGAATGAAAACCTACCAGATACATTGGATCTGATTTTGCTCTGACTTGGACCAGTAGAAATCAGGAATAACTCCACTGGTGTAAGACTGGAATGAGTAAGATTGGAATTAAGGCCACATGCTATAAAAAGGACCCCTAGATCAGACTTCATTCACTTGGCTTAATTATTGCTTTTTCAAATTTGCCAAATTGGAAGGATCACATCAAAAGGGTAATTCCCTCTCTCATAGAATGAGAGATATGATTCAGTCTCTCACTGTCAGAACACTTCTTATATCACAGTGTCAGTTCCCTAACAAATGCCCTAACTGTAGTTTCATTAATGTAGCATTACACACTTTTGAAGATAAATTAATTAAATTCAACCTTCATAACAGTTAAAAGATTTGTAGTCAGTTAGAACTTAATTAGAAGTGATACATAAACCCTTCAAAAGAGATCCCAAAGTACTCACATCAACAAGGCTCGAACGGGAACACAAACAGTGCAACAAGACACACCCTGTTTGAGAGAGGTAAAAAAAAATCCAAATGTTGGTTGGTAAAAGGCTGCCGCTTTAATAAAAGATTCATAAGATACACAGAGTCAATTTCATGATTGAGGCAGGCACAGAATAATGAATTACATCAGGGTGATTTCAGCCCATTATATTTAAATAGTCTAACATAAGTTGAAGAGGTTTATCCATCTATCTCAACAGCCCCACTCAGTACCCAGCGCAAGATCATCACACGTCCCTGATTCCTACCAGAACCCACACAATGAAGCATGTTCTTTTTCCTGTTTAGATGATATATCTTGCACTTTTGCTTCAGGAAGTTTTGACTTCCAATTAATAATATTTCCTACCTACATCAGCCACGGAACACCTAAAAAAAAAAAGAATATTCAGTACAAGAAATCCTGCAAACAATCAATCCAAGCATCCTACAAATAACTGATCCAAGCATCAGACTCAATGTCAAACTGCAGTCGTCTTGCCAACAAAAGGCAGATTGGTATTACCTGATTCTGCATCCTTATATCTTTGAAAAACTATGCAAGTCTGTATTTCCTCCCCTGAATTTGAACCTAAAGTGTCCGATAAGTGGACAACAACAGACCTGAACTTTAAAGGAACTGGCACACGAAATTGCAAGCCCAACAGCAAGGATTTTTAATGAATCCATAAACTTGGAGTTCATACCCTATGACTGGAGAATTGCTAATAGAGTACCTATTTTTAAGAAAGAGGGGGTGGGGTGGTGGGAAAGTGATCCGGGAAACTACAAGCCTGTTAGTTTGATCTCAATTGTATGCAAGGTCTTGGAACAAATTTTGAAAGAGAAAGTAGTTAAGGCCTAGAGGTAAATGGTAATTGAGAGAAAATACAACATGGTTTTACAAAATGCAGAGCATGCCAGACCAACTGGATGTCTTTCTTTGAGAAGACAACTGGTTTTTTTAGACAAAGGAAGTGCAGTAGATCTAATCTATCTGGATTTCAGTAAGGCATTTGGTACAATTCCACATGAGAAATTATTAGTTAAATTGTAGAAGATGGGGATTAAGATGAGCAGTGAAGGGTGGATAAGAAACTGCCTAAAGGGGAGACTACAATGGATCATACTGAAAAGTGAAATGTCAGGCTGGAGGGAGGTTACTGGTGGAGTTCCTCAGGGACCGGTCTTGGAACCACTCTTATTTAACATTTTCATTCATGACCTTGACACAAAAAGTGGGAGTGTGCTAATAAAATTTGCAGATGACACAAAGTTGGGTGGTATTGCCAATACAGAGGAGGACTGGAATATCATACAAGAAGATCTGAATGACCTTGAAAACTGGAGTAATAGAAATGGGGATGAAATTTAATAGTGCAACGTGCAATGACATGCACTTGGAGACTAACCACAAGAATTTTTGCTCTAAGCTGGGAATGTATCAGTTGGAAGCAACAGAGGAGGAGAAAGACCTGGATGTTTTGATCACAGGATGACTATGAGCTGCCAATGTGATGCAGCCATAAAAAGGCTAATGCAATCCTAGAATGCATCATGCAAGGTATATCCAGTAGAAATAGGGAAGTGTTATTGCCATTATACAAGGCCCTGGTGAGACCTCATCTGGAATACTGTGTGCAATTCTGATCTCCCATGTTTAAGACAGATGAATTCAAACTGGAACAGGCGCAGAGAAGGGCTACTAGGATGATCAGAGGAATGGAAAACCTACCTTCCAAGAGGAGACTCAAGGAGCTTGGCTTGTTCAGCCTAAGCAAAAAAGGCTGAGGGGAGATATTATTGCTTTTATATAAATACATAAGAGGGACAAATACCAGAGAGGGAGAGGAGCTAAGTGCCAATATGGACACAAGAACAAATGGATATAACCTGGTCATCAACGAGTTTAGGCTTCAAATTAGACGAAGGTTTCTAACCATCAGATGAGTGAAGTTCTGGAACAGCCTCCCAAGGGGAGCAGTGGGGGCAAAAAAACCTAACTGGCTTCAAGACTGAGCTTGATAAATTTATGGAGTGGGTGACATTAACTTTAAGCACATGCTTAAGTTCCATTTAAATCAACAGAATTAGCATATGCCTGAAGTTAGGCACATGCTGAATAGCCCTGGATGGCTGAATCAGGGCGTCTGTGGTTTCTATGTTTGCAATAAAAGTTCAATAAAGATTGGAATCATAATGAGTTGAGCTGAACCTAAGAAAGTCAAGGATGATGAAATTACATCTTTTTCCGGTCCCATCAAATCACAAATTACCCTAACATTGACTCACATCCACTTACAGACACAGAATTTACACTCTTTATACATCACCTCTGAATTTGGCCCACTGGATAAATCTGGGGCAAAGGGATTTTACTGAATTATGTGATCCATCACTGTGCATCCTGACAAGATCGATTACATCATCTCTAAACCATCCTTGGCAGATCAGTGACCAGCTTTGAACATCTCTAGTGACTATTTGTCTACAGCCTCCTTAGCAAATTGTTCTATCACCCAACTCCTATTACCGCTATAAAATTTCCCTAAAATTTAACATAAATGATCCTACTGAAGTTTCTGACAGTTACCTCTTCTGTCTTAGCTGAAAGCTTGTCAGTATTGATAACTGATGAATTTAATACTTTAATACTAGGGAAACAAGAAAGACAGATTTTTTTTGCCTTTGAAACAAAGTACTTCATACTTCCTTCAAAATTATTCATGTGAGTAAGTAATGGTAACGACTTACATTTATGTAGCATCATCCATCTAGACAAAGCTCAATCTCTTTACAAGGTATAGACAAAATTCTGCCACTCTTCCTCTAATGGGGCTGGAGTCTGATACCTTCACTTATATTGACTTCACCAGGTCTAATTGTGGAATAAGGTGCTACTCGGTGTAAGAGTATCAGGATCTGGCCCTATAGCACAAGGCTTATGCAGTATGTACCACTTGAGCCTAGGATGACCAGACAGCAAATGTGAAAAATCGGGACAGGGGGTGGGAGGCAATAGGAGCCTATATAAGAAAAAGACTCAAAAATCGGGACTGTCCCTGTAAAATCGGGACATCTGGTCACCCTACTTGAGCCCTAATTGTGAGGGTTTATGTGGCACTTCAGTGGTACATGCACCCTGTGTTGGCCCATTGAAAAGGAGGGAATTTCACCAAGTGTGAATAAACATGGCAGAATTGGACCTTGAATATAATATATATGCAGGATTCACTCAGCACTGAAATGCAGCCTTCCTTGCAATGGAAAGTGGCAGTTCTGCATCAGCTCATAGGCAGTGAGGAATAATAATGTTTACAGTTGAAACTGGGAGAACTGGGGAATTTTAGGTAGACAGAATGTAAATGGCCCTATTGGACGCTGGACAGGGCACAGGTATTAATGGAAATGATCACAGAGATAGTAAATTCTTTCAGGACATAAAAGAGGGAAAAAATAGAAATATTGTTCTATGTAACTGTTTTACTATTTCCCTGTTTAAGGTACAAGTCCAAGGAATGACTGGAAATATTCAGTTTGACACCTACGGACGCAGAACAAATTACACAATTGATGTGTATGAAACAAAAGCCACTGGATCACGGAAGGTAAGTTCTCAAAATATGTATTCTCCTTGGGCTTCTTAAAAAATATGTATTGCCGCAAAGTCACGAAAACAAGCAATATCATACAACTGTTGTGAAGATATAAAATCTGATAGATCCCCCTCCCACTACATTTATCTCTCCTCTTCCCTAATTCTTTAGTTATGCAATTTTATAGGAATGTCGTTCCATTCTGTCCTTGTTATTCTGCTCATGTTTCCCCCCTGCCCTTGAATACCTTCACTCCTTGAATACCTTCCTACAGCAAACGTCTTAGCTTCACATCTGAGGTGCCTGCCCTGCCACATCTCAACTCTGATTTCCTCCTACAGTGGTGTCTTCAGATCCTTTGCCCATCCTCTCTCCTAATTTCCTTTCATCTCCTCCTTCCTCTCCATTATAGGCCTCAGAGCAATAGAGAATTGGAACCCATATATTTTAAAAATCTCTTAAAATAGTGCAAAACAGCATTTGGATTTTAATCAGGATGTTCAAAATACGATTATCTCATGGCCTAAGATAAAATAGTCAGAAGTGCCTAAGTGAATTAGTAGCCTAAGTCCCATTTTCAAAAGTGGTTGGGGGCCAGCTTTAGAAAAATATTTAGGTGCCTAAAGATGCAAATAGGTGCCTAGTGGAATTTTCAAAAGGGCCTAAGCAGGTTAGGTGCCTAAATCCCATTGATTTCAATTAGAATTCGGCATCTAACATTAAAACTTCCAGTAGGTGCTTATTTGCATCTTTAGGCACCTACATACCTTTGAAAATCTGACCCTTATGCACTTGGCCTTAAAGTCTCATTGAAAGTCAATGGGACTTATGTGCCAAATCACTTAGGCACTTTTGAAAATTGTACCCTTACTCTAGAAATGGATGCTTCTGTATATCAAGAATCCCAGCTCCTCAGCCTGTGTATGTAACCCTAGAGCTACATGACTTCAGGTCTTGAACCTTGTCACTGGTCCAAAACTAAATATTGCCCCTCCGGCAATAGGACCAGTGTTATTTATATCCCCTGCCTTTACCTGACCTACATTTGTAGCAGCCTATATTTGTGTTTTGTTTTGTTTGAAAGGAGTGGTTTTATTTTAAATAGTAGCTATTTGCAGTCGATTAGAGATTTAGTATGCTAGAAATAGACCAGGTTGAGACTGATTAAGGGCAGAGTTCAAGTGAGACATTTAAGGCTGCAAATTAAAAGTAGTTCATTCAAGAATTCTGCAATTTATTTTCTTGTCCTATGTTGTATTCCCTGGTTGCAGAAATACAGGAATTATTCCATGGGTATTCTGATAAAATATATTATGTAATAATATATATGTACGGAACCATACATTACTTTCACATAGTTTTTGCATATCTATTTGCATGCTACACACTCAGTGATGGAACAATGTAAAAATTCAGCAAAAGGTTCCCACAGCCCGATGTTGGCAAGAAAGTGTCCCATGACCTTGCTAATAGCTGATGAGGGGTCCTAGAAAAACTTTTAGATCAATATTCATTTGTCTGTATCTTGAATAAATCCTAAATAAAAATCACTTTTTTAAAACAAAAAAGGCAGTTCTATTTAAGCATCAGTTTTATGCACCAAAATCATTATAAAAATATGTAACTAGGTAACATTCTCTGCTTTTGTAGGCTGGTTACTGGAATGAATATGAAAGATTTGTGCCAGCACTAGACCAGCAAGTGTCTAATGACACTTCATCTGTGGAGAATAGAACAATAGTAGTCACTACCATCCTGGTAAGTTGCATGTTCTTAGTCAGTATGTGCTTAGGTGGGAAGACACGTGTATTCTGAGATTTATTAGAAGGCCCAATGTTGAATGCTGTGTGACTTCAAGTGACTGAGAAGTTCAGCAACCTCCAGAGATGTACGGAGGGCTTGATCCTGCCAATACTTACACACATGAGTAAATGTACTCACGGGAGGAGTCCCACTGATCTCAACGTTGTGCTTTCCTTCTTCTCAGTTACTTGAACTCAGTGGAACTCCTCACGTGAGTAAAGTTACTTATGTATGTACATGATTGCAGGATCTGGCCCCTACTGCTGTAGGACCAAATCTTGCAGCCCTCACTCAGGCACAGCTCCTGTTGATTGAGTAAGGATAGCACAATCTGGCCCACAGTGAATTGGAAATGCTTTGACAATATGTAAAGACATCCAATGCTTGTGGAGAATAATGCTCTTCTTATAGTCAGTGTTATCTGTGTCAGTTCTAAAGCCTATTGCTTATGTGGTCTGTAATACAGTATTATTTGTGCCTTTGGTGCCTGTTACAATTGTCCTGAGCATGAGTCAGTTTCATGACTTTGCTAGTAGGATCATATTTTACTTGACTATAATTTAGTGAGACACACTCAGCCTTTCAGCTGGGATTTTCAAAGAAGTCTACGGGAGTTAGGTGATCTGTGGTGGAGCTGGGCACCTAAATGCCTCAGGCTTCTTTGAAAATCCAAGCATCAGCGTTATCCTGCACCATTTAAATAAGTGGGGATTTTGCCATTGACTTCAATGGGAGCAGGAGCAGGTACATCACTGCTTTATAAGCTAAGTACTGCATTATTATGGTGTGCTTATCTTTGATCTACTGGAGATTCAGGCCTGATCCTGAAAAAAGACTGTAAGTTTACTCATATGAGTAGCCCCATTGCCTTAGTGGGAATACTCTTGTGATTAAAGCGAATTGCATGGGTGTTTGCAGGATCTGGCCATTTGATGAATTTCAGTTGCGCTTCTAAGGATTGTTAAACTAAACTATTCTGTCTTGCCAGGAAGCCTTTAATGTCTATGTGAAGCTGACTTGGAAATCTTTCCAATTACTATATAAGAGCAGCCCAGGAAATATTGTTGATATTTGCCAATAACATAAAATAATGCTAACAACAGCTCTCGTTTTGCATATTTTAAAGGCATGTGTTATATTCATAGACTTTTGATCTTTGCTTTTGTTTCAAAGGAATCGCCATATGTAATGTATAAGAAAAACCATGAACAACTAGAAGGGAATGAGAGATATGAAGGATATTGTGTAGACTTAGCTTATGAAATAGCAAAACATGTTGGAATAAAATACAAACTGTCAATTGTTGGAGATGGGAAATACGGAGCTAGGGACCCTGAGTCTAAGATATGGAATGGCATGGTGGGTGAACTAGTCTATGGGGTAAGTTTCCCTTAACGTTCATTTTAATGTTCTTTTTTAAAAAAAATATGCACAACGTTAATAAACTGCAAAATAAAAAATCTCTGTTTAAATTTGTTTTACAATCTCTAGATATTTATTTTTAGTCTCATTAGTCTCATTTTGTAACCTATTTTAAAAAAAAATGTGTTCCATTGCATGGAGAGTGTTTTTTTCACTGCCACCCCCAACTAGTCTATACACCAAATGGTTACACAATGGTATTTGGGGTGAACATATTTACTTTGCGTAAACACAGCAGAACATTTCTGCTTTGTCCTGAGCTAACAACCTGCATATGCTGATCTAGTGTGCACCTTGCTTTCTGCTTGCAGGCTGACAGCCATTTCTTCCTTCTCCCTGTAATCTTTGTGAACAATGAGGGATGTATTGTGCTCTGCACAATGTGGGTGCATATGTTTGTGAGGAGAGGATACAAGGATCTTCCATCCCTTCTTCGTGCATATGTAAGGCAGGAGTGCATCCTGAGCTCTGGGACGACACAAGACTACCAGCAGCACTGGTGCTGGCTCCCAGAAAAGAGTGCAGAGCTGGCTTTGCATGAGGAGACATTTGCCCTGTACCCTTGTAAAAAAGTGGAACAGAAGCAGGATGCACTGGAGCTCCAGAAGCTGTCATCCCTGCTGGAGGAACTCTGTCTCCAAAGTTGCCCTGGGGCTTGATCCTACTCTCATTCAAGTCAATGGCAAAACTCCCATTAACTTTCCTGGCCCTAAGCGGCTGATCCTGCAACATGGAAACCAGTGAGAGTTTTGCCATTGACTTCAGGCCAAAAGATGCACCGACATGTTATGGCTTTTTCACCAGGGCATATTTCATGATACAGGCCTAATATCACCACATTTATGGAGTGTTACAACCCCAACAAGGTCTACTTCTCCTAAACTCTGGATTTAGTTTTAAAATATCTGCTGCCAGCCAATCAACTGCTGTCTAGTTAAATGTGCTGCTACTTTTATGTTTGCATATCATGTGTACATCACTTTGAGTAATAGGCACAAAAGACACTGGGTAACTGTTTTATTATTGCTATATTTAAAAAACAATTAGGGTTTTTTAATGCTGAAATAGTAACTCAGGCCTGCCCAGCCCATTCAACTTTTTTGAGCCCTGTCCATTCTGCTTATATGTGTTTTAAACCTTAGAAAACAGTGATTTTATGGTCTGACTTTTGGGGAGGAAGGAGTGGAGTCTAATGGGCACTAAGTGAAGAGGACTGGAAATCAGGACTCCTGGGTCATATCCTTGCCCGCCCACTGACTTGACGTGTGTGACCTGAGCAAGTCACCAAACTTCTCTGTGCCTCAGTTCTACCAGCTATGAAACAGGAATAATAATATTACCTATCTCACAGGGTGAGGCTTTATGAGACACTTTGAGAGTTGCTAGCTCAGGGTATAGTATTATTACACTGCAGTGAAATCCTAAACTCTCAGTGTTTCTCTCCAGGTCAAGAAACTTCAACACTGTTATCTATAATTAGGTCATCTGCAACTGCCCTAGTCATCTAGGCATGTAGCAGCCAATAAAGCAGATATAGTCATTTTAAAAATGCATACTAAAGAGAGCCAAGTGACAAAGAGAAAAGTCAATTCCTAAAGCTGTAGTCGCAAGCTGGGGTTGAGCCTGTTGGAGAGTGTGTTATAAGCAATGTCACTTCCTTTGGGACTTGATGCAGGTAAAATTAACCTCTGCAGCTGCTGGACCATGGAAGATGCCTCTGTATCAAGGGCTTGCAGCAGGGAAAACTAATCCCAGCTCTGCAAGGTGCTCCCAAAGAGCAGGCCTTGGTGAGGAGAAAGTTTGCCCCCTTTTTCAAGCCAGCTTTTCTTTGAATAAGCTGGTTTGACGTAGAGCCCTCAGCCACATCCTTCTGGGACTAGCACAGTTCAGAAGGCTATGCCTGTTGTGTATTGCCGAGCCCCGGGTGCTTTACCTCAACATGACTGCACTTATGAACCTTTGTCTGCAGAGAGAACTGCAGCTTTGTGAGCACCACACACACCGAGACTGGGCTGGTAGAAAAACAAAAACCTGTCCCTCGGTCTGTCTTTTGTTTCATCCAGTGGGTTTGTTCCCTTGTATTTAGGAAGCTGGGTTAGCAAGGCTTTAGCTTTCCAGTTAGTGACAAATTGAAACACTTTTCATTTAGTTTGGAAAATGAACAGCTATGCCTTATTCTTGTGCAGTCAAAGCTTAATGATTTGAATCACATTGAACTGCAATGCTCAGTTATCCAAAGGTCAGACATGTCCCCTGAGGTTTGACTGAAGATCCAGCCCAACAGAGTTGCCCAGCTCTGCTGGGCTGGCGCTGGAGTGGAACTGCAGGAGCCAGCAGGCCTTAGGGAGGCCACCTGGGTCTCTGTAATCAGGGAAGACAACCCTGCTATGTTCAAGTCAACATAGACTTCAAAGCGTCCCCCAATCATCTGCAGGCTTCTGGTGTCTTCCTGAAATGCTCTTATCCTTTCTCCATCTGCAGAAAGGGGGATAGCAACCTACAGCACTCAGCACTCTCAGAGGTGAGGATAATGAGCCAGTGGAAAACACTTTGAAGATGAAAAATGCTCTGTAACCACTAATTATTAGGAACAGGTGTCTCATTTACATGACGACTCTCCTTTATCTCCCATGAGCTGAAACTGAAAGTAAAGGTGCACGTTTCCCCAGGTGCCATTGTGAGCCTTGGCTGTGAAATGACTGTCACATTTGCCTCCTCTGGATTCCATTTTGTGTAAATGAGGGGGAGATTAATTTTTAAATGCCTTTATTAGCATGTATATAACCAGACAAGTAGGGATAAAAGAAGCTTGAGTTGGGGATTTTTGGAACAAGTTTATCCAACAGTTGAACAGAGTTGCTGCTGAATGCACTATTTCAGATTGTATTTGTTTTAACAGCTAACCGCTGTGCAGTCGCATGGCAAATAAGATGTTACTGTGTTATAGAATCATAGAAATGTAGGGCTGGACGGGACCTTGAGAGGTCATTTAGTCCAGTCCCCCATGCTGTGGCAGGATCAAGTAAACCTCGGCCATCCCCGAGAGGTGTTTGTTTAACCTGTTCTTAAAAACCATTGATGATGGATATTCCACAACCTCCCTCAGTAACCTATTCCAGTGCTTAACTATCCTCATAGTTAGAAAGTTTTTCCTAATCTCTAACCTAAATCTCCTTGTCTGCAGTTTAAGTCAATTACTTCTTGCTGCTAACCTGACAAGTTTGTTGACATCGCTGGGGAGACAATATGCAAATCCTATTTAATATTGTCCCATTTGTGTGCATTGCCTCCTGGTTTCAGACCTTTTTTACTGAAGCACTTAGGGCAGCGATAGAGTCTGAAATTTCAATGCTAGAAATCTAATTAAAGTTAATTGATGTTTAGCTTCATTTTTGCCATGTCTTTGTTCCTGCCTCCCCCTTACTGCTTCCTACCTTCTTTTGGGGCAACCAGACACTTTCAGGAGAGTAAAGGCAGAACAATCCCTGTGCTTCTACCTACTGGCCCATATACAAGGTAGATGGGTAGGGACAGGTTCCTTGTGTGTAGGTTCCGGGCAGATTATGGAATGCAAAGCCATTTGCTTTCCTCACATTTTTGTCTGGATTTCTCATTTAGCTTCATTTTTGCACATTCTCCTTCAGACTAAGTGCAAGGTTCTCAGCTGTGCTGAGTTTCCACTCAGTGTAGCAGAGAAAGAGCCTGTCAAAGTGACCCAGATTCTGAGGACAGAGCTGTATCAGCCCTGACCCAAGCATCGGTTAGCGTAGCTGAGAGTCTGCTCTTATCTAAGCCATCTAGGAACAGCCCACAAGAGACCATAGCCCGGTGGCCAGAGTACAACCTTCTCCAGGAGCAGTCCTCCCTGCCCCGTGACATATCCCCTACCTCAGGCCTGGGTGGGTGGCCTGGTGATGAAAGTTCTCCCAAGGTGGATGAAATTCTCCGCTGGCAGGATGTAGCTGCTTTCTGGTCCCTATGCACCTCGAGAGTGGTGCAAAAAGGGGCGGGACACACTAGAGAATTGGTGGCTGCATGGGGATGATGGCAGTGGGGTGACTTCCCACTGAGAGGAGAGTTAAACTGCTCCCAATCTCTGAACCTGAGTCAATGTTCACATCTGACTAGCAGAGCAGCCCACCAAGGCAAGTGCTATCCTCCAATGAGCCATCCGCTAATGGCATCCCCTCCACTTCTGCTGATTAGCAGCACCTCCCACCTCTGATTCTGAGTCCTGTGCCCCAGCCAAATTCACTCCAGAGTCTCCACTGCTACAGCCTTTTATAGGATTGGCTCTGCCAAACAGTATGGCGGGAGGTGGGCAAAGCCATGTGGCCACCTCCTTTCTCTTCCCCACCACTTCTATGTAATAGTTTTCAACTCATATGACATAGAATCCATCACTCTGTTGAGATTTACAATAGAGCTGTGCTTAGAACGGAGGGAAGATGGTCCTGTGGTCACAAGCACAAGATCTGGCTCCTTTTCCCACTCTGTCCTGAGAGATCATGAGCAAGTCACTTACCCCAGCCCAGCTCTCACTGCTAGCAAGGGAAGCAATATGGCTGGAGGTATATTCCACCCTTTACCCCTTCCATGGGCTGCAAAAGAGAGTTAAACTGCTCCCAATCTCTGAACCGGAGTCACCATTTAAATCTGACCAGCAGTGCAAAGCACCAAGGCAAGTACTGTCCTCCAATGAGCCATCCCCACTACTTCTGCCAATTAGCAGCAGCACCTCCCACTGAGCGCACACCGGAGATGCTTTGCTCAAGGCTTTAAACCCACCAGCCATGGAGGCCTAGACAAGGGCTCTTCTCCCCAATGTAGGGTAAGCCTCTTGCCATAGGCTTTTATTTAGTCTCTTCCTTTTGAAGTGTGCTCCTGTTCTTTCTTTCCTGCCCAGCTGGGGAATCCTCCCCTCCCTGGATCTGATCTGGTTTTCACAGCAGTGAGGC